TCATTACTAGTCGATCATTATATACCATTCGATAGCGCTTTTCAAGGACTACATTTACTACTGTTCGAATTCAAAAAAGCTCACTTGTCGATTTTTGCTCAAATTTCCGCCTGAATGCCCACTGTGAGGCGTGTCCACACACTAGTTTACGGCTTTCACTAGTGATCACGTGCGAAAAATATGACACGAAAAGTTTCCGTGAACAGTTCACGTGTTGTCACAAGCGGATTATATTTTTCACGCGTGTCCACACACTATTTTATGATCTTCACGTGCGACCACAGTTCATTTCACGATATCCACGGATGTATAAGCCGTTTTATATACTAAAATTTCCCCATAATGACAAAATTTTTAGTGATCAATGTACATATTTGTTGTAAGGTTACTTCAAGTTACTGGTAATTTTACTATAAGTTTAAAATAGGTAGGTCACATCTAGCTACATATTTATAGTTATCTTTTTAATTAAAGCTCGATAAAAGCTCCAGTCTCACCACATTCAAAGTACCAAAATAAACAAGATTTACATTTCGATTAGAGTTCTTATTGAGATTTTAGAGATAATACTTATCGAGAATACTTATCCTGATCCACGTTATCTTACAGAATTAGCACATGTATGTAATGAAGAACAAGCAGGGTTAAAAGTATGTTACAAAATGAAAAGTTAAAAAAAGAAAAAGAACAAAGCCAGATGGATACTACTTGTTCTTTTTGTCTACTTTATCTATTAATGAACTTTATAGTACATATTTTGCTTTGTTTAGCTAATCAAGATAAACATTCGTCATTAAAAAAAATTCAAGAAATTAGTTTGACATTGGTTAATGATTGTCATGCATCGGAATACGATAGTCATTCAAATGAAATGGAACATGGCACTCCTACTTCTTTGTCACCATCGTATATAAATAAATAATATTGTTATCTACAGTAAACCAGATGCTTCGTTGCGCGAATAATGATGAATAAAATTCCATGCAGCTTGCTGTCTATCGTGAAATTAGGAGTCGAATATCGTTCATAGAACAGATCAATCATTATTGTTTTAAACAAGAATTGTATACAAATTTTCTAGCAACACTACATGATCTAACATAGAATGACAAAACTAGTATTGATATATACCCATGAGATAATTTGGTTTTCCGAAAGAAAGTTCCAACGTGTTGTAAGGAAAGTGTATGAAATAACGAGCTCTAACGCACTGACAACAAAATTTTTACCAGTTACAACGTGTTAGAGAAACAAGAATAAAACTAACGCATAAGGACCAAATTTATGTAACAGGCGCTCGAGTGATCTATTGACGCGCTCCAACACGTTAGAGTACACAATGAACGCATCAGAACCACTTTATAGGAAAATTTTATATCTAACCAGGTCTAACGCGCCTGAAGGAGAAAAAAAAAATTAGTGCTTGATTCGTGTAAACAGATGATCAAAACTTTATTAAAAATGAAGTACAATTTCAAAAAGTTGGAATCTGTGCATATCTGTAGCATGTCGTGCTCCATGTGTAGTATGTTGTATAAAATACTTCGCCTGATTGGTCTCGGGGTCTATCGAAAGAAAACTAATCGAAAACGAAATGTAGTTGGAGAAATAGGAGTATAAATATCTGACAGGTTGAATGAGTTAAAGTCTAAACGGGCTTGAACACACTCAGGGTTTCAGAACGCATAGCAACGCGTTGAAATTGATCAAATTAACTTGTTTCATCACGTTGCTTACTCTAACGTGTTGGAAGGTGTACGATATAGAGCTTGTTCCAACGCGTTTAGAAAGTTTCATCAAATCTAACAGAATTGTAACTGGAACGCGTTGATTTGACCGATTTTATCGCATTGTAACATGTTAGCAAGTAATTTTATACCACTTTTTTCTCCATCCTAATCCGTTCGACTATTAGCAGACGTTCCAACGTACTTTTGTAGTTTTCAAAATTGGCAAGTGTGCAAATGAACGTGTTCACATACGTTGGGAAGATGTTTGACTCGTTTCAACATGTTATCTAAAATTTTTTGACTGTGCTCTAACTGGTTTACTATTTTTTTTCCAAACGCGTTGGAACTTTCGTTCGAGTGATAAAATTATCTCATGGGTAGCCCGCGAATTAGCTGTTTCTATTTTTACTAGATCTGTACCGTAATTTCACACTTTTGAACTTTTTCTCTAACCGTTTTCTACGTCATTTTTTTGTAGACGTCTTCCATATCCTCGTCTTCTGTGTTGGTTGATTCAAACACTGTGAAATGGAAGAGAGAATGAGAAGGTTTTTTAGTCTTTTTCGAAGCGTGTTCCTTCACTGCTCTCTTAGCTCTGAACATTCCAAACGCTTTTCTTTAATTTAAGCGCTACATAATTAATAAGTATTCTCTAGCTGTAAAAGTAGTACAATGAATTAACTGATTCAAGAGATATTTTAAATATGGCTCAGTTGCGTTGAATACCGATTTCACACAAGTTTTTTTGTACTTTTCTTTTCATTTTGTCGAATAGAAGAACTGAAGTTACAAATACACCACAAAAAAATATCTGCACAAAGCAAACATATCTGACAGTTGTCACATAATGTGTTATACAAAAAAACCGAAAAAAACATCAAAAATTGATCGATTCACCGAGAAAGCACATAAAAATACTTTGTTTCCTTTAAGACATTTGTGTATGGGAGGAAAAGCCTATAAATCGTGTATAATGAAGAAAATTACCTGTAGATAACTGTGTAGATGTAAAAACGAAAAAAGTTTCTGGCAGTAATTTAAGAACCATTTAGGTTGCAGTAGAAAAGGAAAAAAAATACAGATCTCGCATATGTAAAAGACAAAAAATAAATGGCACACAAAACTATTATAAGTCATTACATAAAAATAAAAGATCACAGATGTAGATATCTGAATTTATCACAAAATAATAATATTTTTCAGTATTTATGTCCTATTGTTGTTATTTTTTTCATCCTTATATTTTCTTTGTAAAAAAATGATCCAATGTACTTTTCTAAAAGTAAAAGAAACAAAATCAACAAATATAAATAGATAGAAATAATTTAATATAGAAAAGTAGTCTTATTCTTGCACGGGATAAGAACATAGGATATCTCACAATTGCTTTTCTATTACTTTCAACTCGTTTGACTGTAATTATTAGAAAACGGTTTTTGTCGTGCAATCAATTTTGATTTCTTTAAATCGAATACCTGACTTATCGAGAGACCAAAACATCACGCTATTTTTCCATGATAATAATATAACTTACATTTTTCTTATCAGTTTTTAGATTCATTTCATTCACAGCCACATTAAAAACCTTGAAGAAGAGAAAGAGACATCGTTTTTAAAACATAAAAATAAACAGACAATTAGAGAGACAAAAATGAGATTGAGATTTTAAAAGTATTATCTTACCCAAGAAACATAGAGAACAGCTCAAAAGCTTCATATTTTTTCTACTTTTGAAAAGGTATGTACATCAAATTTCGCATTGAAACATGAGTATCAGTGTAAGAGTATACTAATTTAAAAACGTACATAGAAAGTTAAAATGTATCTGTAAAATGACCTGAACAATTTAATGACGGTTTATGTGTAACATATCGATGTTCTGAACTATAAACTGTCGTCGGTCAGTTCTATACAAATAGTAAATAAAAAATTGTATAAATGGACTAGTGATAATTAATATTTTTTTATATTTCGATGTCTCCCTTTTTTTCTCAACAAATGAAACATTCAGAGATCAATTTTTCTAAATTTTTTTCTCAAATGTGGGTTAAAAGCTTAAATATACTTTTTTCATTGCCGTTGAAATAGCTTCCGTTCGAAGCTGTTCTTCGTCAAACCATCGACTATTCGCTGTTGTTGTTTGTTCAATAAAATTCATATTATCGTCATATCGACCATGATAAACTACATATTTCTTATCTATATGTGAGAATAGATGTCGACACTAAAAAAAGGATCGTCACATGTTAAATACAGTACTCTAAAAATGTAGAGACACTCCAAGAACCACGATAGCTGGTGATTTCTACTTTGATGTGATCATAGCTCTCACTAAATGCTGATCACCCACCAAGTTTAAACCTTTTCTATTGGATGGTTTGTGAGATATCTTCCTGACAAAGCTTCATTCGAAATGGTGTCTCTAGAATGAGTTATCAATTTCTTTTGGATACATTTTGTCGTTGATACATTTTGATAAAACAAAGACGTTTTCATCTCTCTTAGATCAGGAGTTATTGACATTTTACTGGAAAGAAATGAATTGCTAATATCTCTCAACCATCCAGTAGATGGTTCTATCATGGTTCTTGGGGTGTCGCTACTTTTGCGGAGCACTATAGAAAACGGCAACATGTTCTACCCTACCTGACCAGCTAATTTTATATCTGTAATAGTACCATTCATATTTAAATCCATCGTTGTAGCTAGAACTATTCGTGTTTTTTCTAAAACATCAATTTTACTTTTTTTTGAATTCGCTCCATCGCAACCATCAATCTCCAAGAACGTCCATAAACCAGATAGTAAACGTGTTTGTTTTTGTTTTAACATGAAATAATATAATTTATCATTTTTTATTGTATACAATATTACCATATATGATGTTTCATTTCGTTGTTTCGGTTTTGATGTTTTTCGAGGATAATTTTTCACTCCACGTGACACTACATAGTAGCTCGATTTCAAACATAAATCACATTCTTCAATATCCTTACAATCATCCTTTAACGACTGAAAATACAAGGTAAAATAAAAACAGGAGCAGGAATATCATACCTTACGGCTATCATTACTATCGTCCTGTATTGGACAACAGCCTCATTCATTCTATTACTAATGCAGAGTTTTTTCATCCTTTTTCACCGAGATGGAACGCCACAACGTAGTGAGTAAGGTATAAAAGCTGATAAGAGAAATCAAAAAAAATTTCCAACGAGTCACGCTATTCTGGAATAAAGAGGCCACATCAGGTAGATTCACCGACAACGAAGAAGAAAATGATTCTGTCTCCCACAAAGATTGCGTGATGGAATCAATACCATCGAACTAATGATGTTCATAAAGTAACAGTGTTGTTAATGACATTAAGAATGTATCAAGTTTTTTTGATAAATGCAAATCAATTTTATAAAAATAAACAGAAATAAAAAATCGCAGAAACAAGTATTCGCTCATACCTGTTTATAAGCACAACAAAAGTTTTGCACTGGACAACTATCACATTTTGGATTCGATGGTGTACACACAGTCGCACCTATAACGAATAACATAGTGAAGTTATTAATGACAGAACGTAATGATAGAACTTCATACCTAATTCTATCAAACTCTGATTCAAATCACCCGGTCTTTGTGTACATACCAGATCGGTTGCTAAAGACCTATAAAAAAAATGTATTCTATTTTTTCAATCTGGAATGAACTAAACAAATAAACATTTTACTACCATAATAAATCTGTTGTTGATTTTTTCTTTAGATCTCCACCAACAGCACGTAAACGACATAAAACACGCATAACATTACCATCCAAAACAGGATTAGGCTAAAGATAGTGAAAAAAAACAGTCTTTTATAATTTTATTTAAAAAATGAGACTAACCGCATTAAATGATATTGATGACACTGCGCCCGCCGTATATCTGCCAACACCCTGCAGAAAAAGAATTTTCTTATCGTCGATATATTCATTAAATCAACGAAAATGTTATACCGGTAAAAGCTTAATCATTTCATTAACATCTGCAGGAAATATTCCATTCATATCGTTAACTATCTAGATAGAATGTAAATAAGATTGGCAATTAGACTGACAAATTATTACAACAAATATTTACTAATTTAGCACAAGCATGTAAGTTACGTGCGCGATTGTAGTAACCAAGACCCGACCAACAACGAAGAACATCCTAAACAAAATCTGATTCATTATTAGATCATTAACATAAGATTTACTGACGAGAAAATGATATAATTTATTATTATATCCTTGTACTACTGATCAGATAGAAAGGTAAAAATCACATTTTACTCAAAGTCTGCAGTTGTCGAAAAATTAATTTTTCTATTTGTACCTCTTCCACTGCATTAGCTAAACTCTCAATTGTCGGCCATAACTAAAATTAAACAGATTTTATTAGTTTACTTAATTTATTCATTGCACATATTCATACTTTCATCCAATTATCATAATAACGTAAAACTGTAGTAACAGTGGTTTGCTGTAACATGAGTTCTGACACCAGCACTGAAAAAACCAGTAATTGCATATGTAAATAGTATAAAATTACTTTTTAAATCTTACCTCGATATGCTGCTACATTTTGATCAGCATCAAACCAATCACGCCATGGTAATTTTCGTTTATTTACATCATACCAACTTAATAATGCATGACGAACAGGTAGTATTTCATTAGGAGCAAATCGATGATGACTCATTGTTTAGATATGTATATATATTGGAAAAAATAGAAAAAGTCTATTTTAAAAGATATTTGCAATACAGATGTAGAAGAAAATGAATCATCATAGATTTAAATTTGACTAACTAACATCCGTATTGAACTAAAGCATTCAAAAAGAGTATAGCTTTCGATAAATCACGAAGAATAGTATCCATTATAGTGTTGCTCATAGTGCTATAAGTTATTTAAATAAATGGAGTTTTTTTTAAACAGAACATAACGTCAGTATTGTTTAGTTTTGTCGTAATATCACGAAAAATAGTGTCAGGATAGTACACTTGATGACGTTTCTTGATGCTTGATAACCGAATTTTTTACATATTTCCGAAAATAAGTAAGAAATATAAGAAATGATAAAACAATTTTATTTTGCTTTTATTACAAATAACTGACATATTACACCTTACAAAAGAAGTCTCAATACAGTTAAACCAACAAGAGAAAAATATACACAAATAAAATAAAAAGAATCTTGATTTATCTAAGTCCCATTTTAAATTTTTCTTTCACTTTCTTTTTAACAATATCTGAAAATAAGCAGAAAAATCGTAAAAAACCTTCAAATTAATTCATACTAAATGAAACTTACCCAAATTTCTATCTTTCCATTGACTTTTTCGAAGTTTAATTGGTCGATTTCCAACATATTTTCCTAAAATATATATATAGTCAAGAAAAAACATGCCTAAGCAACAAGAGACCATTGAGCAGTATCTTACCATTCATTTCTCTCATGGCTTTAATGAAATCGTGTGAATCTTTGAAACTAACAAAACCGTAACCTCTTGTTTTTCCTGTTCGTTTATCACGTATAACTTTTGCTTTTTGAAACGTTGGATATTTACTAAATGCTCGTGCTAACACATCATCATTCACTTCATTTCCAAGATCACCACAAAACAGACGAAAATCATCTAAAATTAAAGGACGTTGGCAGTTAAGAAAAGTTTCAACTTAAAGATTTTGAAATACATATGACTGTGTAGTCTAGATATTGATGCATATTGTGCATCTGCAAAAAGCACTAGAGGATCTAAACTGCATTTTGACTTTATTGTATGCAAAATTTAACTTCTCGTGTGATAGAACATGAACAAATTTTCCGTACTTTTAGTTGAATTGATAGATTCGAAATACTGTCAGTTTTGACACTAACGCGTATTTTACCAAAGAGTACAAAACTCATGTGATCATAAAATCTGTTATGCAACATGCATTCGACTTGAAAATATCAGTAATGATAGTTTTCTATGTTTTTCTTACACTAATATCCTTAAACAGCCAAAATAATAGTTGATTATTGAGCTTGTTCTCTAGAGAACTCTCTGTAAATCAGAAACTTCAAGAAGTATTAACCAAAATTGCAGCTTTTCTGAAAGTTTCAGAAATGCACTTACAAGTGGTACATAGGGAAACAACAAGTTTGAAGGAAAACTAAGTATAACACAATATGCATCCTATATACAATGAATTTTGAAGTCTTTAACATGAGCCAAAATTGTTCTTATACACCAGTATCGTTTTTGAAACATCAGTCGTATCAAGAATTCATACCTGTATCCCAATCTGCCAGAGATTCGTCTTCCCATGTTTGACCAGCAGCCATTCTCACATAACGTGACTTTTTTGTGCCTTTTTTCCCTTTTTTCTTTCCAGTGCCAGATTCAGTATCCATGTCATCTGAAAATAAGAGAATACAGAGATACATGTAAAAAAGAGTCAAAAAATTAAACTTACCAATCGATTCACTTGCTTGAGATGTTGTCATAGATTTCGAACTTGAAGATGTGGCACTCGATTTTGGAATTTTTGGTGTAACTAGCTGCTCTAATTTCTTTTGAACTTCAAGAGGATTAACTGGAGCTGCTGCTGACGTACGATAAACGATTGGATCTGGTAGTTTTGAAGGCGTCACTGGTTTTTCAACCAATAATGATTTTTTAGAATATATTAATGGTTGTGCCGCAAATGTTGACATTGGAGTAGACGACACGGATGTTTTAGGTGGCGATGCTGTTGACGAAATAGTACGCGGAGGTGATTGAGCCTTTGGTTGAATTTGCGATACAGAAACTGGGAGAGAAGAAGATTTTATTGAAAATGCTGATGTTTGCTGTGGCACACGTTGTCGAAGTTGATGAGGTACGAATAAATTTCCTCTTGGAGATGAATTTAATCCTGGACTAGAAAATGATGGATTGACTGGTTGTCTTATTGAATTAGACATTTGTGAATTTGTTGTATCGACTGGCATTGGCAATGGAGGAGGTAAATGCACTGATTGATTAAATGCTGCAAAGTTCGGAGGAGGAGGAAGCGGTGGAAGATTGGTTGTTGCAAATGAGGCAAACGTTGGAGCATGAGAACCTAGAACAAAACACAAGTCAACAATGAGCTCATGTGAAGGATGGCTACCGCAATTTCGTTACCTAACATCTGTCCAAAATGAGGCATGCCAAGGTTATTTGTTTGAGTTGGATTTACATACATATTCACAGGAGCCATTGATGAAAGCGACTTTGGGACCGATGAAGCAGCTGTTGCGATTTCAATTTCGAAGCTGTGAGAAAAAATAGAAATCAGCATTTATTAGGTGACTGTTATGTTTACTACTTACCGGGTCATTTCGGCATCAAAATTTGATAATCTGTCTTGTTGGCCGGCCATAGCTAGTTAACAACAGCACACTGACTTAAGAAAAATGAGTTTATCTAAAAAATAAATAAGTCAGTTCAATGCTGATTTACAAAAAAAGCTAGAAGCTTAAAAAGAAGCTAATCACTAATATTAAAACATACTAAAAGTAAAATAAACAATTCACAGTAACGGATTTAAGTAAACAGAAGTCTTCCAACACTGTACTAACAAAATGAGTTTATTCTTGAAAGTATTCTCATCCGAAAAAATAAAGTTAAGATTCTTCTAATCCATTTGTTCTTCAGAAAAACTCCTTTTGTTTCTAGTTTATAATACAATTTAATTATCTACTGATTTTACTTGATTTTGGTCCTTTTCTCCTCAAAAGTTAGTTATTCTTCGCAAGCAGCAACTTAGTATTGATTATTTTGATCAAAATTCAGGGCCAGATAGATAAAAGATCGATCCATTGTACATTATGCTAGATCATGATACGATCTACTCGTAATTATCATCGTCAACTCCGTTGCCATTCTAAATATGAGTACGCTTTTAATAAATGATGACGTGTTATGTGAGATGCATATGAACTGAATATCTTTTGAGCATTGTTACGATAAGCATTTCTATCATTTGATACGACTGTTAGCATCAGGCAGAAAATGTAAATAAACAGCTCATGTTACATAATACAAAGAAATAGAATATAATAATTCTTGAAACTAACAGTGACGGGTGAGGCTAACGTAACTCTTTTTTGTAAAAAGATGAACTGCGACGATCGATTCCTTCTTGAAAAAAAATGTAAGGTAAACAGAAAACAATGCTGTGGCTAGTGTGAGTTGGACAGAAGGAAACAAATGGATCGATACAAGTCATTTCCTTTCTTTCCCTTGACTTTAGTCTAGGGAATTACAAAACGGTTGTCTGTGTGTGTATCTGTGCGCAAAATGCGGAAAAAGATGCTGATAGATATACCATGGATAAGCCAATCACAACCACAAGAGAGAAAAATAGAAATTCTTTTTTACAGGAGAGAGAAAATTCTCAACGAGATAAGTGAAATAATATTTACTGATACAGAGAGATAAAAAGCCAACGAAACTTTTTCTATAGTTGGGCGGTACATGTCGCCATAGATCAGTCAGATTTGATAACGTAAAAAAAAGTCATCCACAGATAATAAAAGTTACAGAATATAGATAATCTATCATGGTGAATAATCTATCATTGTTCTTCTAGTTCTCTACTTGTGTCTCAACTTTCTCTTCCAAATCTCAGTCTTTGTTGTAAATAATACTTTAGTCCTCTACAGTTTTTCAAATTTATCATCGTCTAAGTCCTGTTTCTCTTTTTTATACTGTTCATCGTCCTCACTACTCATCTTAGGTCTTCATCATTCTAAATATGTTCGCATTCCATCTTCTGCTGATGGTTAAACGGTGCATTCTTCTTTTTTTTATTCAAATATTGCTGACTAGAATAATCTCCTAGAGTCAGTTATTTGTCTTTCTTCTTTAGCGTCTTTCAAAACAGCTTTATGTCAGTATCTCTTCCAGTGAAACATTTGTCAGTTAGGAATTTATATTTGCTCTTTTTTGCTTACTTCTTTTATTTTTTTTTCAAAAATTTGTTCTTTTTTTACTGCTTCTGGTTCTAACCTTACCCTAGAAGTACTTGGAGCAAGTACTTCGCTTGCGTAATGAAGCCGGTACTTGTCTTTTTTCTAGAAGTAAATTTACTTGTAAGTACTTGTCCAGCGTGCAAGTACTTGATTTTTCACTTGACAAGCACTTGTTCAAGCGCTTGTCAAGTAAAACTGCAAGTACTTGGATTGTTTTCTGGGTAATATTATTCGAGTGCTTTTCTATTGTCGCTTAATATTCACTTTCTGAACTTATATTGTTCTGTCTTAAGTCCACAAAGAAAATGCGTTTTCCTAAGCATAGGTATAGTATGTAAATAGACAGTGGCGAGCGGTTCTAACCTGTCTTATCCAAGCAACTGCTGATTTTAACCCTATTTTTGGTTAAAAAACGTGTTTATGAGTAGTAAATAAGCAAAACAAGATTAAAACAAATAAGATTAAAACAATAAATAAAACAATAAAATAAATTTTCTTAATAATACTTTATGTGCATGCACTTGTTATGTCAGTGCTATCAGTTGTCATTGCTTCTGTTTGCTCTGCTTCCTTCGTTGATTGTATCCTAGACGATAACAGCCTGTTCTGTTTCGTTGTTTGATTTCGTTTGACATCGCGTGGGAATTGTTTCATACTGTCGCACACGGCCTGCCATATGTAATCAAAATCATCTTCGTGAACCCAACAAACTCTTTTCACAAATTCTAGAAGTACACAAAAATAAGTCGTCGCAAAACTAGCTTATGAATGAGAATACCTTTGAGCAGCTCAATATTTGGGTCAAATAATGTCCGCCAGTCATCAACGTGGTTACTCAATTTAAACAATGCTCGCATAATCATAGTTGGTCGAGTCTTCGGCGCTTCTAATTTACTAATGTCAATATTAAATAGAGACTAAAACTATACAGTGAAGAAATATGAGAAGCAAAAATATTGTAAGCGTACGTACTTCTATTTGACTGAAAACACTATCGGAACCGTAGCTGAATATGTGACGAAGGTGTTAACTGAAGTCTTCGATAAGTATTTAACACTTTTCTCATACGATAAACCTCTTTTTGGAGTTTACTCAAACAACTAAAGTTTTCTTCGAGTTTTTCGAAGCGTACTTGTAACTGCTCACACTTTTCACAGGTAGTAGCTCCCACCTCTGGAAGAAATTATTGAAAGTGAATAGTATGCAAGAGATCAGTTTAGATCATCGAACATACCTGTGTTTATCTTAAGTTTCTTCGTTTTCCGTTTCGGTCGTTTTAGCGGCAATGACAGATCTATGTTACCCCGAACCTCACCAACTTTCTTTCTTTTGTTCATATTCTTCACCTCAAAGCTGCCATCTTCATCTAAAAGTAGGAAAATTTTAATACATGTCTATGAACAGAGCAAGCCTAAAGAATATTAAATATTTGTGTTAAAGTAGAGGTGTGAAATATAATTGAAAAATGAACAATATAAGAGGGAAAAATTCTCTTGTTTACTTTGAAATATGTATATCAGAGAGCGCCAAGTAAATGCAAGACAGTATGTAAATAACTAAAATATTGAACTTACCGTACTGCTCTTCAGCACTCGATGATAACGAACTTTCACCTTCTAACTTCTTTTGTGGCGCACCACCATATAATGTGGAGAAATCATAGATAGGCTCATTGATTGTTGAATGTGTTGGCTGCGAATAAGCTGCAATTGAACTTAGCTTCTTTTTGGAAACTAAAAACCATAATTCTTTAGAAAAATCGTGGATTAGTAGAGAAATAGTACCTGTTTGAGTGTGAGAGTAACTTTCACTTGGAAGTGATAGATCATTCTCTTGCTCGTTGTCAATTCGAGTCAACACAGGACGTAAGAGAGTTTTTCTTCCGAAACTGTTTATTGAAGACTTCGATAAACCAAGCAAAAACTCATTTTCATTGTCTTCTTCGTTAATGGTAGGTGTTTCGTTCTGCCATTGCTCGACGCGGTCTTGAAGTTGTCATCTCTTGATCACTTTATCTGAAAAACAAATACAAAACGTAATAAAGGAGGAAGGATCGTAAACATAATGCAGAATACCAGATAATACAGAGTAGTTTCTGTTCTCCCTGAAAGCTAACGAAACAGAGTTGTAAGGAGAAAAATGCTTTTTTTATACGGTATGCACATTATTAGAAAGATAAAGCAATGACTTAATTCATAAATGTCGAAGAAACGTAGAACAAAGTTTTATTGTATAATCTATTATGTATTCACGGCAAAAGGATTACTTTGCTCAAGATATCTGACGCGACTATAAGTTCGACGGAAAATTTTGTTATGTCCAAAAAATGGTAATACTGATCTAATCTTTGTTTCAATTTCGGTGTCACGGTTAATCTATTTATCAATGAATAATTCATACACGCATATTTTTTAATGAATGCATAATTTATGTTGTGTATTAAGCAAAAAAATAAAACTTCAGCAGCAGACAACTATAGTTGTCTTATTTATTTTGTTCTTTTTTTATTACTCTTTTTGTGTTGTTTGGCTTTAGTCATCTATTACAGGTCAGTGACCTTTGATGACTCTCTCACTTTTCGTGAATAAAAACAGTCTTAGTCTTACGAGGGAACTCCACGAAGTGATTAAACGCTTTTTGCTCGGAATCTAGTGGGTTATAGGTTATCGACCATGCTGATTACGAATACGACCATGCGGCTTCCGCATAGCCCTTCGAATACCTGATTTTCTAGAAAACGAGTTTTTCAGAAACCCCAAAAAATAACCCGAACCGTTCTTAATGAGGCATGATTGTAGCCCGCACATTTCTGATTAAAATGAGACCTCTCCCAACTCTACATGACCTTTCTTTGCAAAGTTATAGAATTTACACGAAGAGCCCTAAATTAATTTCTTC